GCAAGCTGTTGACTTGTTTTTCATGATTTTCTTGCATCACTCTCAGTTTTTCCTCTACTTCTCTTACTTGCTTCTCAAAATCCCTTTTGAGCTCTTCCAAGGCCTGGGACTGATTCATATTCTTCTTGGAGGCTTTAGATTTAGGAGCTTTGGCTTTGTTGTCTTCTTCTGGTTGTATGTTTTGATCTTTTTTGTCACCAAAGTAAGATAATATAGTCTGACTCTTTTTGCATTGCTCACTCATAATCCTGGCCAATTACTTGAGTTTTAAACTCTTTGTTAAGGTAAAAGTCTGTTTCCATCGTGGAGAATGTACTGTCCCAAGTTTCAGGGGTTTGTACATTTTCAGAGATACTTCTACGGACCTGAAAAGTGTCAGTTCTTCCTGGGTGCTATGATAAGGGGCGAGGTGTTTCCTCTCCACCACCACTATGAGCTCCATTCAAGCTAGCACTCCTCCTTGCCCCAGGACCGCCACCCAGAACTATGACCCAGATCCAAACATGGGCAAAGCAAGAGAATTCTGCACTAGCAGAAAGATCCCTGCAGTCCCCCTCTGATCAGCCATTTGATTCCCCCTCAGTCTGTGGGCTGGAAGCTCAGGAATCAGCCGCAGCTCTGGGGGCTGCTGAAACCTAGCTTCTTCTCTCACCACAGTCACATACTTTTCCCAATGACCTTCCAAGTTGTCTTTGGCGTTCCTGAGTTGAGAGGTCTGAAAACTGCGATAGCTTCCCATGATTCAGTCCTCTGAGGCCTGCTCCAGGGTTGCTGCAGCTTGCGTGCCCACGCCAAACTGCGCTCCTCTCCCCACCCGGCGTGATATACCTTTCCGATCAACCATCCAGGCTCTCTTGGGCTGGAAATTTGTTTCACTCTGTCTTTTTGTGGGTTGTGCTGCTTTAGAATTTGTTTAGAGTCATTTTTTATAGGTATTTGGAAGGGTTTGGAGGGACAGCTCAAACAAGTCACTGCTTTCCCCAGAAGTATCTCTTAAAACAGCTGCTCAAAACCCTTGAACTTGAGGCAGCACACCCTTCACATTGAAAGCAGAGTCCTACGTTAACAAAGAGTTAAAAAGTAAAAAAAAAAAATTGCTGGGAAAATGAACAAACAATGGGAAAAAACTCAAACTATAGAGACTTACTTTGGTAACAAGGAAAATAAAATCATACACTCAGAAGAAGACAACAAAGTCAAAGCTCCTGTATCCAAAGCCTATAAGAAGAATATGAATTGATCTCAGGTCATGGAAGAGCTCAAAAAGGATTTTGAAAATCAAGTAGGAGACATAGCGAAATGAGAGTGATGCAAGAAGATCATGAAAAATGAGTCAGCGGCTTGCTGAAGGGGACACAAAAATACTGAAGAAAATAACACCTTAAAAAACAGAGTAGGGGGGCAGCTAAGTGGTGTAGTGGATAAAGCTCTGACCTTGGAGTCAGGAGGACCTGAGTTCAAATCTGGTCTTAGACACTTCACACTTACTAGCCGTGTGACCCTGGGCAAGGCACTTAACCCCAATTGCCTCACCAAAAAAAACCCCCCAAAACAAAACAAAACGAAAAACCAGAGTAGGCCATATGGCAAAAGAGGTCCAAAAAGCCAGTGAGGAGAAGAAGAAGGCCTTAGAAAGCAGAATTGGCCAAATGGAAAAGGAGGTCCAAAAGCTCATTGAAGAAAATAATTCCTTAAAAATTAGAATGGAGCAAACGGAAGCTAATGACTATATGATAAATCAAGAAATTACTAAACAAAACTAAAAGAATGAAAAAAATAGAAGACAATGTGAAATATCTCATTGGAAAAACAGCTGACCTGGAAAATAGATCCAGGAGAGAGAATTTACAAATTATTGGACTACCTGAAAGCCATTATCAAAACAAGAGCCTAGACATTATCTTTCAAGAAATTATCAAGGAAATCTGCCCTGATATTCTAGAACCAGAGGGTAAAATAGAAAATGAAAGAATCCACACACAAAAAAAGAATCCACTGATCATCTCCTGAAAAAGATTCCAAAAGGAAAACTCCCAGGAATATTATAATCAAATTCCAGAGTTCCCAGATCAAGGAGAAAATATTGCAAGCAGCCAGAAAGAAACAATTCAAATGTTGTGGAAACACAATCAGGATAACACTAAATTTACCATCTTCTATATTAAGAGATTAGAGGGCTTGGAATATGATATTCCAGAGGTCAAAGGAGCTAGGATTATAACCAAGAATCGCCTACCCAGCAAAACTGAGTATAATCAATGAGGGGGAAAAATTGATATTTGATGACATGGAGGAATTTAATGCGTTCTTGAGAAAAAACCAGAGCTAAATAGAAAAATTGACTTTCAAATACAAGAGAATCATGAAAAGGTAACCAGGAAAGAGAAATCATAAGGGACTTAATAAAGTTGAACTGTTTACATTCCTACATGGAAAGATATTTATAATTCATGAGACCTTTCTCATTGTTAGGGTAGTTGGAGGGAATATATATTGACAGAGGGCAGAGAATGAGTTGAATATGAAGGGATAATATCTAAAAAATAAAATTAAGGGGTGAGAGAGAGGAATGTACTGGGAGAAGGAGAAAGGGAAAGGTAGAATGGGGCAAATTATCTAATATAAAAGAGGCAAGAGAAAGCTTTTACAGTGGAGGAAAAGAGGGGAGAGTTGAGAGGAGGGAATAACATACACACTCAATTCTTTATGGAAATCTATTTTACCATATAGGAAAGTAGGGAGGAAGCAGATAAGGGGGATGATAGAAGGGAGGGTAGATTGGGGGAGGAGGTAATCAGAAACAAACACTTTTAAGGAAGGGTAGGGTCAAAGGAGAAAATAGAATAAATGGGGGGGAGGATAGAATGGAGGGAAATATAGTTAGTCTTTTATAACATGACTATTTTGGAAGTGTTTTGTATGACTACACATGTATAGCCTATATCGAATTGCTTACCTTCTCCATGAGGGTGGGTGGGAGGGAGGAAGGGAGAGAATTTGAAACTCAGAGTTTTAAAAACAAATGTTAAAAATTGTTAGGCAGTGGGGTATAGAAATCTGTCTTACTCTACAGGAAAATAGAAGAGAAAGGGCATAAGATAAGGGGGAGATGAGAGAAGGGAGGGCAGATTGGGGGAAGGGGTAATCAGAATGCAGGCTGTCTTTGGGTGGGGGGAGGGGAGAGATGGGGAGAAAATTTGGAACTCAAAGTCTTGTGGAAGTGAATGTTGAAAACTAAAAATAAAAAAGTACAGAAAAAAACAACAAAAAATGGTTGGATGACTAAACCTAAAGAGAAGTCATTAATAATTCAAATGTCATCTTGGAAGGAGATCTCTGATGGAATGCCCTAGTTATTTGTGCTTGGCCCTGTGCTGTTTAACATTTTTTATCAGTGAGTTGGATAAAGACATAGGTTGCGTGCTTATCAGGAATATTATGTCTTTATTCAGAGATTCATGGCTCATCTTTCATTTTTACATTACACTTTTTTTCCTTCCAAAAGTACCATGTGATAGTTAAAAAATTAATGCAAATGAGCATGAATTTTATGCTACCTCTTCAGAAATCACTTGTATACTTCCGGGGATAATAAAATGAGGCTAAGAATCATTTTCCTAAATACCATATGAATTTGACCAACCAGCAAGTATTATTTATTAAGTACTCATTATGTGTTAGACATCACACTAAATACAGGTGATGCTAAATATAATAATGTACTGGGGAGATGGAGAATCATTTGTCATTTCAGCTTATATTTTTTATGTCTTATGACTCAAGACTAACAGACTAGAAGATATGGTTATGATTCAGGAAGATCTTCTCAGGCTAGAACATGGATTTGAGTTGAATAAGATGAAAAATGGCATATACTAAAAGTCTTAGTGAAGATTAAAACTTAAAATCATACTAAGACTTTGGGGGTATCTGTAAACATGTACAATGTATGAAAGATACATATAAAATCTTATACTTTTGAAGATGATTTTTCAATCCCAAGTACAAGGTGGGAGGGGTATGGCTAGATAGCAGTTTTGTTTGAAAAAAGGTCCGGAAATTTTAGTGAGTTGCAAGCTCAATATGAGTTAACAGTATGTATAATGATGGCAACCAACACAACCAATGTGATCTTGGGCCACATTAAGCATTAAAATAAAGAGGTGCTAGTCTGTTTGTACCATTCCCTGTTTAGACAACATCTGAAACGTGGTGTTCCATTCTGGGTGCACCATTGTAGTCAAGACATTGATAAGAGCACCCATTGGAGGGCACTTAGGAAGGTGACCTTGAACTCCTTCAACCAATGTGAGTTCATAGCTTTTCAGCAACTTACAGTTTTAGAGAGTTGCCTAGAGTACTGACTTGCCCACTAAATAAAGACTAGCTCAGGGTCACAAACAGCCAGTGTGTGTAAAAAATGGGACTTGAACCCAGAGACCTGGTCTCGAGGCTGTCATCTATCTATGTATCTGTCTGTCTGTCTTCTATACTACATTACTTTTCGTTATTGTGAACATATTTTAAAGATCTAAAGAAAATCCACATAAAAAAACTTGATGTTTTGCTATTTGTTGATGTTTCCCTTTGTGTATTCGGAATTTGTCTTGTGAGTTTTCTGTCTCTCCTGGGTTGACCTCTTGTACCTATCTTTCTGAATGCTTTGAAATCTGCTTTCTGAATTTCTAAACTACATGTCACACCATAAAGAGACGAGAAGAGAAACCTCATTCACAATTATGGCTAGGGCAGAATGATTTTATATTAAATACACATGTGTGATGTTAGTTTTTTCTGGTATTTGACCAGTAAGGTGACATGAAAAAGTCATTGAGTAGTGAGGATATTAGATAATTAATAGTATGATATGATATATGATATGATAAATTAAAATAATTTAATTACTGCATTTTACTCAATAATTGATTTTTTTCCCTCGCTGTTAAATATCAGTGTACTCTAATTATGGCAAACACACTGTATTTGTTTTCTTTTTCCAGGAAACCTTTGAAGATGCCTTTGAAAACTTCCCATTGTAAGTACATCGTATTTTTAAAAAAATGAATTTTATGTTGATTCTTTAAATTAATTTCTGCCTTTGCTCATGGTAATGGTTGCTGTGGTGGTGTAGGTAGGAATGGGAAGGAGTATTCATCTAATCCATAGTTTAAGACCTAGTTCTTTACAGAGTAGTGATATTTAAACAAAGAATTGTTTTGAAATACAGCATTCTCATTGTGTCAACTGTGTGAGAGACGCCTTTTACATTTTTTGTATAAGAAATCTTGGGTATATTTTTAAGAAAGAAAGAACAGCCCTGCTTGGCTGGGCTCCTTTTATTCTGTTTTTTGAGCATATTCAAGTTTGTCTACAGGGAAAGAGAAAAATTCTTTAATGCCACTGTCCTTTCTTTTTGTCTCTCCTTTTAATGTTTTCCCATTTCCTTTAGCCTCAAGTATGTCAAGTACAACTTTCCATGTTTCTATCCAAATTCTCCATGTCCCAATCCCGACTTTTATCTTCTAAATAGATAGCTTGTGTAAAGATCTCTCCTTGATGAAATTTATCTCTTAACTATGTAGAATCATCTTTGGTTAACTTTCATTTTCAGTTCTCATCAGGTGACCTGGGATCATGTTCCTGCCCTCTGTGCCACCTTATGACTTTGAACAAGTGACCTTAGCCTTTCTGCGCTTTAGGTTCTTTATTTGCATGAGATAAAAGGGTGGAGCTGAATCAGGAATTCTTATCCTAGGTCTCTGGATCCTAAATTGTTTGTGTATAAACTCCAAGGGGTCTGTGAACTTGGATGAGAAAAAATATATTTATTCATTTTCACCACCTCTAACTGAAACTTAGCATTTCTTCAATTATAAATATAGGCAACCAACATGATTCTGTGAAGGTCTCCATAGGCTTCACTAAACTGCCAAAGGGGGTATATGACAAAAAAGTTAAGAGCTCATAAGCTAGATGTCTGAAGTCTTCCTTCCCTAAATCCCACAGTAAGTCTGTGTATCTGTGGGTGTATATAGGCCTGGAGCACATTTCCAATGATGACTTTAATGCAGAGTGGTATATGAAACACCACCTGTCCTAGGCAGCTCAGGAAGCACAGTAATCCAGATTGCACAAATGATTGTCCTGACAGGATTAAGTGGATTATAAAAGAATAGGTTTACTTAGCTAATAAGGCTTCAAGTGCTGAATACGGAAAAGGATCTATGTTGATAGTTCTAGTTCAGTTGAATGCCACTTCCTCCTTCAGTCTACTTTTTCCCCACGTAGGTAACATTGACAGGTGTGGCCATTGGGTCACACAGGGCTGGCATGCTGTGGGAGGACTGTCAAGCATGAGGAGGCACAGAGCCCCCTGTGCTGGTGGTTTCATATGTTGGGGCACTGATAGATACTATGTCACCAAGCCAAAGCCTTAAGTTACATAGGAAACAAAGAAACCTTTATGCTCTTGATGACCTAAGTGGATGATATAAGGGTGCTGTGTATCAGCATCACTTTATTCTCTGTCCCTTGTAATCCTATCTACTCTATAGGCGAGGGACTTCCAATCTGAAATTTTGTCCTCACCAAAGCCTAGAAATTTCCCCCTCAAATGTTGACCATTTCCTCAGATCTGTCCATTGCCTATCACAACACAGAGGACATAAATAATTAAAAGGTAGACTGCTCATGTAGCAAAAATGAGGGGAAAACAGATGGAGACCCTGAAATTTGTTTGAAATATTAAAAGGGCCAGAGAAAGGTTTTTATTGTATTTGATAGATTCTTTATGGAGAATTTATGAAAAGCCAGACAAGAACCATACAAAATGTGTGTGGTGTAGACTAGTAAAGTGAATACCTAAATTAGCAAGATCATGGATCCATTAAAGCATATATACTCTTTACTTTTGCCAGAATTCAATCTGTTTTCATGATTTATACTCTCCTTATTTTGATTTCTGAAACGCAAGCAAAAAAAAAAACAAACAAAAGAACAACCCTGAACAGTCAAAATAAATGTTACAGTTCATGTATTTTATTTATAACCGAGGTTCTCACTTAAATCCTTTGCTCTAATTTGAACACAATTCTATTAGTGCTAGTAATTTTTTTTCAGGTTATAGCAGATTAGCTATGGCAAATTAAAGGGTTGAGGACTACTAGAAAGAAACAGATGCTCTGACAAGAAGAAGGAAGTGACAGTTGAGAACAAGTAAAGAGATCATAGATCTGGAGCTGTGTGGCACTGAAAGAAGTCATCCCGTCCAAATCCTTCATTTGACAGATAAATAAATTGAGGCCTAGGGAAGTTAAGTGACTTGCCTAATGTAATAAGTGGCAGATGTGAGATTTGTAGTAATAGAGTAAATAGAGCTGAAAGTTAGGCCCCTATTTGACAGATCTTTTATGCCTAACATGTAACGTGTTTATTCTGAATCTTCATTTTTTTGTATTGAAGAATAAGATTGTTTTGGTCCTTAGCAGCCCATCTCGGTTGATGTCTCTGAATAGCCAGCTAATTTCAGCCTTAGCCTATTCTAGATTTGAGCCATAACACACCCACTGGCTTTTGATTAGAATGCTTGGGAGTAGGTTCTGATTATTAGGGTGACGTTTGGGAGGGAGCATAAGATTGAAGTCTTGGAATGAACTGTCTCTTATGCTGAGCCAAAATTCCTGATTCCTATGGTTTGGTAGTCCGTGGTCAAGTGGGTAATAAAGATGGGAGGATATATGAATGCCAGTGCTAGAATACTCCTGGTAGAGGGGTATTCTTGGAAAGTTTTGAAACAGAGGAAGATTATGAGCCTCCTAAAACCTGGGTGCCTTAATGAGAAAGGGGGGAAAATTATAAAAATAGCCTTAAAAATTAAAAAAAAATCACAGCAGTTTTGCAAATTCAGTGTAGGGACAAACAGCCTTCCATAACTCAGTAACCCTTGAAGTTATCAGTGTTGCAATCTATTTTGATAGTTGATGTTTCTTCATGATGCCCTTGAATCAACAAGGAACAGACAGTTCATTATACTGTGCTGCAGAAGAGAGGAAAGTATGCCACATTTTAGAAGAATTTACATCCAGAAAGGTCTTTATAAATGTTGATACTTAAAAGGCATAAATTTCATTTATCTGGAAAATATGGTGCATGTCTCATTTCCTATTGATTTGAGATAAATTACTATATAAAAAAGTTGTTCCTCAAGTAACTTTCCTTTCCTATTATTGGAAAAGAATTATCTCCTTTGTTTCCATGTACTTTTCCTCTGTTGATTTTTTAATTAAAATTTTAGCTTGAATGGATCAGGTAACTTGCCCATGTTCCCATAACTTGGCACAATGGCAGAGCCAGGATTTGAACTGTTGTCTTCAGATAACAAATCTGTTGCCCATTCTGTAACACTGTGCCTTTCTCTCTCCCTTTTTCTTTCTGTCACGAAAGGTGAAAAAAGACTTAATTTTTATTCAGTTGCTTCTAGCTGATTTCCTTATTATTCATTTTAATTGAACATAATGTTATATGATTTAAAATTGCTCATATCTTGGGTGTCATTCATATCTTAGTTTTCTCATCTATAGAATGGAGATAAAATTTCCAACTCTGCATACAAAGTGTAATAAAGTCTTAAGTTGTTGTGTGGTTCAAATAAGATAATTTACATATGAAATTGCTTTGAAAACTGTATTCCTACTCATAGGGATCTGTGATCTTATTGACCTGGGAGTTTTTGCCAGTAATGGAGATTGCAGCCCATCCATGTCAACTTACCACTTGTCTGCCTCTACACACACACACACACACACACACACACACGTGTATATGCACACACACATATGCACTAACATACACGCACTCATATCTGCCTTTCCATAAGTTATATTCTGATGTGTCATAGTTGCTGTGGGCGTTACCATTAATTCTCAAAGGCCACAGCAATGGATCATAGTCTGACAAATTTTACTATGTTGGGAAGACTTCATATACAGTCCCCAGCAATAGTCTTTGCATGTTTTCCAAGGATCCTTTTAGCTAAGTGCAAAGAAGCTCATCACCAGTAACAGTAGACCGGTCATTTGTTGGTGAATTCTTTGGATGAAGTGTAATACATCTCATGATACGGCATCTATTTTTGAAGTTACAGGATTGTTGAATAAGGGAATTGGTTTTATGTTGTAACTTGTATGACTGGTTTTAAGTAAAACTTCAGTTAAAGTTAATACAGACTATTTCCTGAAATAGACATTTCAAGGGGTGGAGCAGTTGATAATTTGGGGAATGCATGTGTGTACATGTGTGCGTGTGTGTGTGTGTGTGTGTGTGTGTGTGTATGTGTGTGTGTGTAGTTTTGGGAGGTAAGGAGAGAAGGGACTGGATGTCAGTTTGAATTTCTCTATTTTCTGGGTTCTAGGGACAGCTTTAATTGTGTGTGATAGTTCTTTTTATCCCCTTTCAGCTTTGGGTACTATAGAGTATGCTTTAGCATAAGCATCATGAAAGCTGAACTGGGTTTGGGAAACTTGAATTAAAGATGAGGTTTGAAAGTTTAGACACTTCCTAAATAAGCCTGGGTAATTTTATTTTATGCACATTTCTAGCTCTTATTCCCTGGTGTGTTATTTCTGAATTTATATGTATTCTGTATTCCTTATGAATAAACCCAAGAAAACATCTTTCTGTGGTTCAGCATGTGTAAGAAAGGAATGAATGGCAGAATTAACGTCTTTATGGTGGCGGTGGCAGAATAGGAAAAGATAAGTAGAGATTAGATGTGGTAGGTCTTTGTACTGAGGGGGTTAAAGTGGCCCAGAGGCCAAGAAGGTCAGGATCCTTGATTCCTTGACTTGGGGTTCTGAGATCAGAGAAGGGAATACTCTGGGGCCATGGGCAAAGGAGCTTCTGGACTGGTTTCAAGGAGAAGTTGGAATCTACCATGGTTTAGTTCAGCCCATATGGGTTGCGACCCACAGTTTAAGAAGTGCCGCAAGGGTCACCCGTGGAAAAAAGCTTAAGAAGCCCTGGTTTAGCTGATCAAGG